CACTGTTAGTAAACTGCAGTATTAATTGTTGCCAGCAAGATCACTGATTGATGCTACAATTAGTGGGCATATATTTTTAGGAGGAATGGGATATTTGCATACACTCAAAATATCTTCACCAAGATACATATTAACTATGAAGAAAAAAAAAATAGTAACTTAACAAAGGAGAAAACTGGCAGAAACACCTTAGTTGACTTAAGATCATCAGTCCTAAGACATATTGATATTGAATACTCCCTGCTATGATATAATACACTAAGAATAGACTGCTTCTGTGATAGTCTTGCAAAAATGCATAACTTTAATCTAATGACAAGAACATATCAGATAGGCCCTCATTGAAAGAGATTCTGCACAGTAACTTGACAAGTATTCTTTAAAAGTGTCAAGGTCATTGTATTAGTCTGTTTTCATGCTGCTAATAAACACATACCCGAGACAGGGTAATTTATAAAGGAAAGAGGTTTAATTGACTCACAGTTACACATGGCTGGGAAGGCCTCACAGTCATAGCGGAAGAGCAAGGGACATCTTACATGACTGCAGGCAAAAGAGATTGTTCAGGGGAACTCCCTTTTATAAAACCATCAGATCTCATGAGACTTACTCAATCTCACGAGAACAGCACTGGAAAGACCCGCCCCCATGATCCAATGACCTCCCACCACGTCCCTCCCATGACACGTGGGAATTGCAGGAGCTACAATTCAAGATGAGATTTGAACGGGTACACAGCTAAACCATATCAGTTATGAAAGACAAAGATTAAAGAATTCTCACAGATTGGAGAAGAGGGAGGAGACATGACAATCAAATGCAAAGTGAAATCTCCAGAAAAGAAGGATGACTTTAATGGCAAAGATGAGATTTGAACGAAGTCAGGAATTTAGTTAGTAGTAAAATGATTAGAATAGTGTCTGTAATAGGCTAAACTTGACATAAGTGATCGTAAACTAAAAAAATTTTAAATGAACTTACTAAATATTATACATTTCCATGTGATACAGTGTGATGCAGCCTGAATCTTGACCACAGTATATGTCCACTTCACTCGTCTTCTCCTGTCTGGTTTTATGTCAGGGTAATACTGTTCTCATGAGTTACGATAGGAGCCCCACTTTTCTTTCCTCAAGAAGACTTTCCGTAAGACTGGAATTTTCTTTTCCATGAATGTTCCTTAAAAACTGTTTGAGTGAACTTTTTGGATTTGGAAGGGTAGAATATTTTAAATCATATTTGATTTTCTCTTTTGTAGATTTTGGTATATTTTTTATTTTTAGGAATTTTCCACTAAGGCTAAGTACTCAATTTTATTAGCACATAAGTGTGGGTAATATTTTCAAACATTCGCAATCTTGGTATTATCTGTTATTTTTAATTTTATTCTTTTTAAATATTCAGGAATATAAGGATTTGAGTTTATCTTTTCTGTGTTAACCTTTAACTTAATTGTGGCATGTTCAGAGTATTTAGTAGATAGTGGTTTATCAAAATGTATTTAAGCTTGCCTAATAACTTAGTATTTGGTTAGATTGGATTAAATGTTTTATGTCGGCTCTAAAAGAATCTGTACTCTCTAAATAGTGTGTTCAAGTTGTATATATATCTCAATTTCATTATCCATATGTTTGTATTTGTTTTGTTAAATATTCCTCCTATTTAAAATTTTTAATTGAAAGCTTATTAATTGAAAAAATATATTGTGGCTGCATTTCCTGTGTGCTCTAGCTTTGAGAATAGATACTAGTAACAATGAAGATTTTAGCAGAAATCAAAGTTTATAAGACTTTATACACCAAATGAAATTAAACACTTAACATCAACAATAAGTGCTTTCACTGAGGCAGTGAAATCATTTTTGTATTTTAGAAAGGTCACCTTTGCTAAGGAGTAATAAATTCATTTATTGAGGTGCCACTTGTATAAAATTTAGTTTTTAAAGAAAGTTCTTGCAATCAACAGATTAGATTTTATGATGTTCTGTGGTAGAATCATAGTGAACTGTATGAAAAAAGTATGTGGTTATGAGGCAGAGTTGTGTGGAAAATCTTTCATAGGGAAGGAAAAAATGTTGAGGTAGGAAAAGTTTGTTGGACAAAGCTAAACGAGACCAAGATAATTGGATGTATTAATTTGAGAGAAACTGATAGGACAGAGGATCTAAATAAATTACAAAGGGTCAGCCTGTGGTTATTTTCTTTTAAGTAAAATGGGAACAATCAAAGAGTTTTGAAACGGAGTAAAGCTTAATAATATGAATGTTTTTAAGGAGCAACAGGGCAGCAATGTGGACTAAGAGTATGTATGAATTGATTTGATTTGGCCAAGCATAGGAGCTAGTAGACTAGGTAGGAAGCTTCTATGCAATATACAATATACAAATAATTTATTTTATTGTATAAGATAATGTACAAATAATGATATGGCGGCTACTACACTCAAATAAACTCTTAGATAAAAATACTAAGTGCCTGTTTACTGTTACATTCTTATGTTTCATACAAATAAGTAAGTAGATAATAGAATGCCTGGTGATGACTGGTGATAGGAGAAGTGATTGCGAGCACTATTTTTGATAAGTCTATTTTCAGTTAAGCTATTAGTGAAAGCTCTTGAGGAGGTCCCCGTAGAGCAGACAACTGAAGGAAGAGAACAGGGGAGCCATCAGAATATCCAGGGGACAGGTGTTGCAAGAAGAATCAGCAAAGGCAAAGAGAACCAATAAGATGGTAGCAAAGTAATGAGTTGAGAATTGCTTTCAGTGGTGTGTTACCAGAGATCGAAACATGAAGAAGGATACAGGCTAAGGCACCAACTGCAGTGTGATGGAAACTGAGTTTTAATGATGTCTCTTAGGAAGTGTCTTCCAACGTGTAGTGTATGTATATGCCCATAGTCATTTGTTAGGGCTGCCGCAACAAAGTCTCACAGAATGGGTGGCTTAAACCACACAAATGTATTTTCTCACAGTTCTAGGAACTAGAATCCTAAGAACAAGGTGTCTGCTGGCTCATTTTTTCTGAGACCTCTCTCCTGGGCTGGGCATAGCCCAACAAACAGTCAGCTTTGAACAGTATCATTTTCTCAGATTTGGTAAACTGCATTATGATAACATGAGGCTAAGGGGAAGGAATTTTATGTGAGAGAAATAGCATAAGAAATACAGAAATGGTGATATAAGGGCAGGGTACAGTGGCTATTGCTTGTAATCCCAGCACTTTGGGAGGTCGAGGTGAGCAGATCACCTGAGGTCAGGAGTTCGAGACCAGCCTGACCAATATGGTAAAACCCCGTCTCTGCTAAAAATACAGAAATTAGCCTGCTGTGGTATGGTGCCAGGTGCCTGTAGTCCCAGCTACTCGGGAGACTGAGGCACGAGAATCACTTGAACCTGGGAGGCAAGGGTGCAGTGAGCCAAGAGCATGTCACAAAACTCCAGCACTCCATCCTGAGTGACAGAGTGAGACTCTATTTAAGAAAAAGAAAAAAGAAAGAAAAGAAAAAAAGAGAGAAAGAAAGAAGAAATAGTGATATAGGAAATTAAGTTTTGACTAGAAAACTTGGAAAGCCCAGTTTGGTCCATATCTTTCATGGAAGTGACTAAATGCAAAATGATATAAGAAAGATATATTCAGTCAAGACTGTGACAAGCTAAGAGTTCTGGACTTTATTATGTATATTAAGGAGAATTACTTAAGGTTTATGAGCAAGAAGGTGCTATAATCAGAAGTGTACTTGAGGTCGATTAATCCGTCAGAAATACGTAGTTTATGACCAGGTGCTGAAACATAAATCTCATTAGCAGCAGAGGTTGTTCATGCTGGAAGTACATCTAAGTACACCAAAAGCATAGATAAATTTTTATTTTGCTCTGGAATGAAGGGGAGTTTGTCAGCATTTAGTGTTTTTACTCTGAGACTGCGAAGGGCATCTTTATGTTTTTTCCATAGACTGTCCTTTGTTCCTGCTGTCACAAGTAGAAATAGGATTCCTACCCGTAATGGCTGATTTCACTGGATTTTGTAATGTTCTGCCATGCAGTTGAAATAAGCATGAGTAGTAAATAACTAAATATAGCATAGTCAAAACAACTAAATAGAAACATTCACTGTATATCCTGTGGTTTGTTGTGATTGTGTAAACACACGTAAATACATACCTGCACTCAAAACAGATCTATGCAATGAAAAACTACATGCTTGGTTGGTGCAGTGGCTTGCATGGGTAATCCCAGCTACCCCAGGGATTAAGGCGGGAGGATAGCTTGAGCTCAGACCAGCCTGGGCAACATAGCAAGACACTCATCTCAAAATAAATAAATAAATAAATAAATAAATAAATAAAGAGACAACATGCTAATATTTTTTAACTTTTATTTTAGGTTCAGGGGTACATGTGCAGGTTTGTTACGTAGGTAAACTTGTTTCATCGGGGTTTGTTGTACAGATATCTATTTCATAGCCCAGGTAATAGGCCTACTACCCAGTAGTTATTTTCTGTTTCTCTCCCTCCTCCCACCCTCCAGCCTCAAGTAGGCCCCAGTGTCTGCTGTTCCTCTCTTTGTGTCTGTGAGTTCTCATCATTTAGCTCCCACTTATAAGTAATAACATATGGTATTTGATTTTCTGTTCCTGCATTCATGTGTTAGGGATAATGGCCTCCACCTCTATCCAAGTTCCTGCAAAAGATATGACCTTGTGTCTCTTTATGAACATACTCATTTTAAAACCAGAATTTCTCCTACTGTTAGGACTTGTTTCTTACTATTCATAATATGCACAGATCAAAGCCCCCAAAGTTCCTAAACTTTAATGTTATCCATATTACATGTATTCATCATTTGTCAACATCTGATTTAGAGTTTAAGATCTATTATATTGCCTTGTACACATTTTGCTTTTGGCTATTCTATTGAGAAATCTCTCTCTCTCTCTCTCTCTCTCTCTCTCTCTTTTTCTTTCTCTCTCTCTCTCTCTCCTTTTCTTTATACTTTACAGACACTATTCATCTTAGAGTTCTTGAATCCTCCCCAGTTGGCACAGCCATTGGAAGTGTCAAAGCAACTGATGCTGACACTGGGAAAAATGCTGAAGTAGAATACCGAATTATTGATGGTGATGGTACTGATATGTTTGACATTGTGACTGAGAAGGACACACAGGAAGGCATCATAACTGTGAAACAGGTGCAAAGCATTCATATAAATAAGTATCTGTGTGTTTCAGGAGTAGGGATTGCATTATATACTCTTCACTCATGAATTATCCATTGGGAAATACCACTCTAATGTTCCAAAAGTATGATTTATACTGTGTATACATAAGAAAGACATAAAGCCAAAGAGCTCCTTGAAAATTTTGACCACGTGTTTTGGTTGATTGAGACATGAAACCTGAAATTTTAGAAAATATAAAAGCAAGTTAATATATGTGTAATCATATTTCTAAGCCACATTAATAAAAGCACATCATAATCACATTATTTTATTTTAATATGTGTAGTTAATACCTAATAATGGCAATATATCATCCCAGTTGGAGGTATAAAAAGTGTGATGCCATCTATCCAGCTGATGAAGCAATAATTAGAGTTACTAATAAAAGAGGCAGCATGGATTGTAACATAATTTAATTGTTCACATTTTCCCTTCTGCTGTATAAATGTAAGTTTTCTTCTAACGTATGCTCAGTGATACAATCTAAAGGTAACCTGTTTTTTTATTGTAGCAACAGTGCCATCATTATGAGAAAAAAATAAGGCACATTAAACTTTAGGTCCTAATGAAATGCCATACATAGAGTAACTACATAGGCATTAGTTAATAATTAAACTATCCTGAGATACTTTTGCAAGGTACAAAGTACAAAACCAACTGTTATTAAATGAACAGTGACTATCAAATGGGAAAGCAGCTGTCTTGTCACTTTTCAGACCAGAGAGCAGCAGTAATACAAATAGAATCTGTTTCTTTTTGAAACAAAAATAGAAGGTTAAGGGAATCCGAACTAACAAAGTCTTTTATCTGGTAACAAAACATACATTTTAGAATAGGTGAGATATAAAATACTTGATTTTATACTTCTGACAGTTAAACTGTATGGATATTTAGGGTATTTTGTTTCATCATGTAACCTATTTACCAAATTACTATCAAAATATTTCTTATTACAGAAGGTTTTTCTTATCTTGAATATTTGATGTAACTTGAAAGTTTTGTATTAGTCTCCAAGATTTCATAATGCTTTTATAATATCATAAGCCCATTACATTGAATGGAAACATCATGACATAAATGTAAAAAGGTAACTGCATGTATTTACTTAGAAAAATTGAGCAGTAGCTAACACCTCCGCACATGCACATTCACACACAAACACATACAACATCCATCAGCCCATTTTTTGTAATGTTACCACCTGTAAGATAGATTTCAATACCCATCCCAGTTTTTTCAAGGTTTAAACTCTCAAGTTCCTATGTTCCAAAGTATTTCTAATTGAATGCATAAAAAGTAAAAGTCGAATCCTAAATGAAACATGAAGATTGTATTATTTGTGTTTGTCTTTTTTATTTATAATTAATGAACTACGTAAGAGAACTCAACCGCAACTTAAGAATCATATTGTACCTTGGTGGGAGCCTATCATCCAATTTCCCTCACTCTAATTAGATGATTTATTCTTTTATACAGCCACTTGACTATGAGAGCCGAAGACTTTATACTCTGAAAGTCGAAGCAGAAAACACCCATGTAGATCCCCGTTTTTATTACCTAGGACCATTTAAAGATACTACCATAGTGAAAATCTCTATAGAAGATGTGGATGAACCTCCTGTTTTTAGTAGGTCTTCCTATCTGTTTGAAGTTCATGAAGATATTGAAGTTGGCACAATCATTGGTACTGTAATGGCAAGGGACCCAGATTCTATTTCCAGCCCTATTAGGTAAGTGTGCCTTTTAAAAATGGAAACAGCTGAGCTCGGTGGCCCACACCTGTAATCCCAGCACTTTAGGAGGCCGAGGTGGGTGGATCGCGAAGTCAGGAGTTTGAGATCAGCCTGGCCGACATAGTGAAACCCTGTCTCTACTAAAGATATAAAAAATGAGCCGGTCATGGTGGCACACACCTGGAATCCTGGCTACTTGGGAGGTTGAGGCAGGAGATCACTTGAACCTGGGATGCAGAGGTTGCATGAGCCGAGATTGTGCCCTTGCACTCCAGCCTAGGCAACAGGGCGTGACTCTTTCTCAAAATAAATAAATAAATAAATAGGAAAACAAAATATAGTTTAAAATGAGAAAAAAAGAAAAGAAGCGGAGATACATATAGAGATCATGAAAATCTATTTAAAACATTTATTGCAATGGAAGATACAAGAGTCCTTCCATAAGTTGTATACAAATATGTTGAGCACAGGCATTTCTAGTAAATTGCCTCTGAATGTTTTTGGAGCGTGGCATGCACAAGCTTCGTGGTTTTCTTATTTTTATCATGCCCTTTAGATTGAAATCTTGCTTGTTACACCTGCATGTCTCCTTACGGTGTTCGTTGTTCTGATCCCTGGTACAGATCCAGGGTACTATGTCAACTCTGCATTTACAGTACAACCAAACCACTTTATTTGTGCTTTAAAGGTATTAAATAAAATGTAAGGTTGAATGAGAGAAGTTTTAACAGTTATAAAATAGGTTGGATGTGCTGGCTCACACCTGTACTCAGCACTTTGGGAACCCACATTGGACAGATTGCTTAAGCTCAGGGATTCGAAACCAGCCTGGGGAACATACTGAGACCCCGTCTCTATTAAAAAATTTAAAAATTAGCCGGGCAAGGTGGTGCACACTTATAGTCCCATCTACTCAGGTGGTTAAGGTGGGAGGATCACTTGAGCCCAGGAGGTCAAGGCTGCCGTGAGCTGCATTCACACCACAGCTCTCCAGTGACGAAGCAATACCCTGTCTCCATGAAAAAAGAAAAAAGTAATTATGATGCTGCAATGTGGGTTATATTATGATGTTAGAAACTCCCCTAATACACAGCCATCAAAGTTGAGAGGATTATGTTTTGTTTTATGTTTATTTATTTATTCTGCCAATTTTCAAAATATATGAGAACATTCTAGAAAGGTGAGTCTTTTTTGATTCTTGTTTTCCTTCTTATGACAGCTTAAAAACATATGAAATGTCATAAACTCCTGAAAATGAAAAAAAAAAATCAATGTTTTAATGACACTTGTTCTATTACTTTAAAGAAATACGTATATTGACATACACTGTTCAGTATGAAAATGAACGCTTACTATAATCCGTTAGTCCATCCTGTATTTTGGATTTCATTTGTTTTCTAAATCTCTGCAGGCTAATTTTGCTTGCCCATTTTCTATGTGAACCAGTCAAGTATGAGTTCAGATGGTTATTGTTCACTTTCTGAGTGCACACTTATCTTTCTCCTACACATGCCACAGCGCATTCAGGAAACTTCTAATTTTATGTGCCACATGACTTGAACCAGTTAAAAATTCTATAGGGTCTGCCATATCTTCAAGTGAAATCATGTATTTTATGAATATCTATGTTACTTTTTATTTATATAATTTCACATAAATATGTTTTCTTATATTCACACACAGCATCACAGGTTACATATTGGCAGAAGAAACCTGTACATGCCACATGATGTTCCCATAAATGCCTCTTTCCCAGTTCATTTACCAACATCTAAATTGCTGCATTCCTTCTGTGTTTTTGGTTTTGTTTCTGTTTTTTCCTTTGAAGGTTTTATATAACCAATACACAGGCCTAATTTTCTTCATTAAATACTTACCAAACATTTTCTTGGCAGAGATTCTAAGGTTTAGCAAGCTGTCTTCTGTATTTCAGATTTAAACTGGACTTTACAAAATAAAATATAATATTGTTAGTTAAATGTATATCAAGTGGCATACTTAAATTGTAATATCAAGATATTTCTCCACACAATGAAATAGAATTTAAATCCTCCTATAGACATATAATTGTTATATGTCAAAATATACCTGTGGATATTTAAAATAAAATAAAATGGTTAATGAGGATGCAAGTCTAAAGACTAGGAGGAAAGAATCCTCTTATGTATATTATTATACATATATTCCTGTTATGTATATTATATTATATATATGTATATTATAGTCCTCTTAGGTATAATATTATACATATTATAGCAAAAATAATAACTCCTTTGGTTATCAATGACAGAGGGTATGCCATTAAAGTTGCTGTACACTTTGACTTTGTACTAATTTGTTGTAGAAAATTTAATGAATATTCTTGGATGTCATTCTTTGGTTAGAATATATATATTCAAAAAAATAGAATAGCCTTACTAATGCAATATGTCATTGTGGGGAGGATCATCCTTGACATGCTATAAATTGTGTCATATCTTGTGAATGTTAATACAGTATTCAAAGGGATTTTCTTAAAATGTGTGTTCTGGAAATTATTTTAGAAAGGAAAATGAAAGTTAACACACATAACTTTCCAATACAGAATTGCAAACTATATACTTTGAATCATATTTGTAAAAGAACTATAATCTCTGTGTATCTGCAAGATAATGTCACATAATGTTTGAAATTTCGTCATTACTTCTTCATTCTGAGCTACAAGAAATAATTAAGAAAGAACACACATGAAATGGATTTAGCAAAATCAGTGATGCATGACAGCAGAGGCTTTTATTGATTTGTATATTTCAACGTTGTCATATTTCTACAGAAATAAGGAACCTTATTATTTGCCAAAATGCCAGATAATTAGGTCATTCTTTCTTTCATTTAACAAATATTTGTGGATCACCATATCAGATATTAACATGTTTCTTAAGGAGTTCTCAGTCTATCAGAAAAGAAGACTCACAATGAGAATCAAATAATATTTATTGAATGCCTAGTAGATTTTGATGCTTGGTGTTTTCATGTTTTATTGTCTGTTTGAGATGTTATATGAAATGAATTCCTAATACAACGTAGTAAATGGAAAGATGGTGGTACAGCTGCTTTATCAGTGAAGGGGGGGACAAATAGCTTCTACTTTACATCATCATGAGGGGCTACAATGAAGAAGTGAAATTTATGTTAGATCTTTCAGTAATAAAATAATTATTCCAAGTGGAGAGACACAACGATTTTCTTAATAGGTGAATGTTAGATATGTAGTTTGATAAAGATAATGAGATTTATTTAAACTACATCAACCAGAATGTTAAATCTAGTTTTAGGCTTTAAAATGACACACAGCACACCATGCTTGCTATCAAATTGCAGGATAGTTTGCTGATATTTTTTAAATGCATATAGATGTTATTTGATAACAGATATATTAAAAACTCTTATCCCAAACTTTTCTTTTTTTTTTTTTTTTTTTTTTTTGATGGAGTCTCGCTCTGTCACTCAGGCTGGAGTGCAGTGGCGTGCATTCTTGGCTCAGTGCAACCTCTGCCTCCTGGGTTCAAGCAGTTCTCCTGCTTCAGCCTCCCAAGTAGCTGGGACTACAGGCGTGTGCCACCACACCCAGCTAATTTTTGTATTTTTATTAGAGATGGAATTTTACCATATTGGTCAGGCTGCTCTTGAACTCCTGACCTTGTGGTCCAACTACCTGGGCCTCCCAAAGTACTGGGATTATAGGCATGAGCCCCCGTGCTCGGCCATCGAAACTTTTCTATTTTTTAAATATTTTGCATTAAAAGCAATATGTATAATAATGATACAAATAGCTAGGAAATTGAAGCTGCATGAGTGTCATACCATGAAGCTACTAAACACCATAAGAAGTTGATAGTCTATTACTTTGATGAAACTAACATTGTCTTCAATTTTCTAAGAACACATAGCTTCTGGGAATAATCTTTTGCAATAAATCTTTGTATTATTCTTCAGTAGAACTTCCAATAACCAAATAATATCAGTTGGCAATGTAACTGCCTGTAATTCCAACTGTTTTGTGATGAAATATATCAAAATCAGTTGAATGAATATGGCAATAGACAATAATTTAAATAACACAAGCATTCAGGAGAATAGCATTTGAATGCAGAGCAAAGTACCAATTTATGCCTTGTAGAGAATGTATGTGTGCAACTATGAAAAGTCATTCAAACAATCTACATCCTGGGTCAGCACTGTGTTCTTTCCTGTAATTATCAGTGATATGTGTGTCTTTGCATTTCACTGTTTTTTCCTGCAAACTATTAATAATGCTACCATGTATTTTTTCTTGCCCTCTATGTTCAGATTTTCCTTGGATCGCCATACTGACCTTGACAGAATCTTTAACATTCATTCAGGAAATGGATCTCTTTATACTTCAAAACCTCTTGACCGAGAACTATCTCAGTGGCATAATCTTACTGTTATTGCTGCTGAAATCAGTAAGATGAATTTTATGCATCTAACATATATCTAGATATTTATGTTTATATATTTTAAGTATTTAACATATTTTATGGGTTTTATTTTATATTAGAAATAATTCATTCTCATTGGACAGATGAATTGTAATTTTCTCAGCACTTATACTTTTTTTTTTTTCCTACATGGATACATAGAGGGATACCTATACGTATTGGTAGAAGATGCAAAAATTTTATTTCTGCCTTCTTGGAGTTTTTGGCTGAGCCTCAAAATAACATTGACATAAAACAGATTAATGGGCTGGGCACGGTGGCTCACGCCTGTAATCCCAGCACTTTGGGAGGCTGAGGCGGGCAGATCACGAGGTCAGGAGATCAAGACCATCCTGGCTAACACCGTGAAACCCCGTCTCTACTAAAAATACCAAAAAAAAAAAAAAGTAGCCGGACGCGGTGACGGGTGCCTGTAGTCCCAGCTACTCTGGAGACTGAGGCAGGAGAATGGCGGGAACCCAGGAGGCGGAGCTTGAGGTGAGCGGAGATCGCGCCACTGCACTCCAGCCTAGGTGACAGAGCGAGACTCCCTCTCAAAAAAAGAAAATTACCAACCAACCAAACAAATAGACAAACGAAAAACAGATTAACAGGAGAAAAGCATTTAATATAAATTTTACGTGACACAGGAGCTCTTATAAAGAAATAAAGACCCAATGAAGTGACCAAACTAATGTTTTTATACTAGGATGATAAAGAGAAGCAATTGTGAAAAAGTAATTAAATGTATATACAGAGCATAAATAAAGATAAAAATTATGTTAACAAAATCTGAATCTGTTTGTATGGAATTTTCTTGGCCTCACTTCCCATTTTTGATGATAAGAATGTTACTTTTCTTCTGGTATAGAGAGGACATCTTGTATATGGGGATTTTATCTCCTGCTTTCAGGAAGAAAAGGGGAGGAGCAGAACACCCTTTTTGCATCTGCTGTTTTTCTTTTTTTTTTTTAAGTACCTTTAACTCAAAATAATCTGTATGTCAAAATGGCATATTTTGCCACCTTTCCATATATGTAAATGTATATTTAATATTAACTAATAAAAATGAGCTTGAATTATAGACTAAAGATATTATGATTTGTGGAAAAATTAAAAGTATTAAATTTGTCACTCTCACACTAATAATTAGGATCTATGCTAAATGCTGGGTACATATGATGCAATTTAATCTTATCAACAAACATGTAGGTAGATATTACAACTTCTTTTTTACAGATGAGGAATCCCAGGTATATATTGTTAATCAGAGTTCACATTAATCATATATGTCAGGTGTCATTCTAAAAAAAAAAAAAAAAGATTTTCTCTTAATATTTTTATTAACCTCCTTTAACAGAGAAGGTACTAAGGCTCTGGGAACTTTAGTAACTGGTCCAAAGTTATAATGTCAGAGTTAGCACAACTGAGATTTGAAACCATGTCATTTCTAGATTCATTACTTAATTCCACAGCTAATTTACAAAATTGTATTCACTGAAACCTGACAGATTCAAGCCACATTTGCCTCTAATAGTGAAAGTTCTTGCCCATACTAGGACAATTCATGGGGCCCATTGTAAAATGAAAATGTCAGGTGCTTATTAAAAGTAAATTAAGAAATGTAAGATAGGAGCATTAAAACAAGTGTGAGTCTCTTCTAAGGGTAAGGCCCTGTGGAACCGCTTGGATCACATGCCCATGAAGCCAGCCCTACCGGCACATGTACATGCAAACCTGTTCAGATTTTCTAATTCCCATGTTGTGATGTATGTGGTGTAGAGCAACTCTTGAACTGTTTTTAAAATAAGCATTAATTAAGGAAGGAATTGTTTTTAAAAATTAAGCCCATAAATTTTAGATCTGTAATACTAAGCTGAATCCACAAACACGTATCAACTTCAAGTTATTTATTTGAAGTAACTGCTACAGGCTTTGGAAGGCAAAGCATTGGATGAGGCCGAATCACCAAGTATCCCAGAGCAATTGAATTAGGCTAGACAGATCATCAGCAATGAACTCAAAGCTTCATGACAAAGCAATAGATTTAGTGTCTTGCTTACATCTACCCCTGAAATACAGATTAATCTCAAATGGTCCATTTTTTTTCCATTGTGAGATATAAATATCTGTTTATATCCCCTTGTTCTCTCCATATAATTGCTATATATGACATATAAAAGCTAAATACCCTGTGAATTTAGCTTTTGATTTTAAGGCTAACTAAATACTTCTAAGTTTTTATTTTAAAGAAAGTTTTTATTTCTGTATCTGTATCCACATCCCCGTAGTTAGATGTACCTAACATGATACAATCTGGTCATGTCAGAATCATGATTGTGCTCTCTGCTTGATTCAATATCCTTATTCAAGCCTAGTGAACAAGGAACTGCATTTTCCCTTTCAGATATTTTGTGAGATTTAACTTCTAAAGCTAGTTGAAGTAATTACAATGCTGTAAAAAGCTAAGCCAATTACTTCTTTTTTTAAAGGACTGAATCTTTTTTTTTTTGTCCTCAAATAAAATCAATCTGTAGAACAACTGCCAAAAATGCCTACCTGCCAAACCACAAACAATCAGGATCCCATTATTCTGTTCTGGGCATTAAATGCAATGAGGATGAGAGCGAAACAAAGTGTAAGGATTTTTTTCTACTAGATTTTAAACACTGGCTTTACAGTCAGTGTGTCATACATCACACCCTGAGCAGGACAGAATGGTGTTCAAATGTACTTCTTACAATATGTTTTTGGCTTGACTTCTAATCATTTAAGTCTACATTCCATACAAATATATCACATCGTATGGCAGGTACCACTCCAGGTAATTATGTAGTGCATCATATCATGGAATAACTCCTCTTTTTCTTCTTCAAAAATGTTTTAAAATGTCATGTGGAGAATAAAACATCTAAAATTAAGGTCACAATCAATGACTTAATAATAAACTTGGGATTTTAGGGCATATTTGTTAGAGAAACCAAAGAACTCCTCTCACTACATGTGAAAATTTGACTATAATCATTGCAATACATTCTGAGAACAATAGAACTAAGTTTATGACTAAAGAACTCCATTATCTACACCATAGTTCTTATTCATAGAAATTCTTACCCAAAGCAGGTAAAACAGTTACATTTTTCGAATGCCTGTGATTTCTAGATAATTATTTAAACTTTCTCCATCTGGAGGCATGAAAAGGCCCGTGGATGCATAGTCATGGCTTCACCGTAGGACATACATTTTAAGATCCTTTATTGCTGATCCATTGTTGCTACAGTAGTGTTTCCCTGAAGAACTTTGAGAGAAACTCAGGTAGTAAATATATGCCAACTGCTATTCAGTTTGATTCTTCCTTGGAACACTTTATACTTTTATTTATACATAAGCGACAACGTCTGCCAGCAAAAAAAGATTAGTGTAAGCGCAGTTTTTTGAATAGGTGGCTCCAGGCTCGATGCTTTACAAAGCACATTCATCCCTGTGGATTTCGATTTTGATTTTAAGAGCCTTGAGTTATTTGTCAAGATCCTGGAGAATCTCTATATTGTGTTAGGGAAGTGGCTGACGACGCAATTTTTTAGATATGAAACTTTTGTCTCTCCTGGCTCCTGTGGCATCATTAGAAAGAGAATTGTTAGCAACAAGGGTTCTTTTTATGTCAAGACTTTATATTGAAAGGAAATATTTTGCTACTCACTATATAATTAGGTTAAAGAGTACATTCCAGAAAATATGGAAGAAGCATACCTTCCCACTTTTCTCCATAGCAACAAGTAGATAGCAAAAGGTCCATTTGTAGAGAACACCATGACTCTGGGTATTAGCAAATGGTCTGGCGTAGAGGAAGCGGAAAATAATGAGATAGCATTTTTCTCCTTTTTTTTTTTTTCCTCCCCTCTCCACTTCTTCCGAAATGCGCACCTCTTTAGACTCACATGGATGGTAGGAAGGCTAACTGATGTGTTTTTATTAGGTAGATACTTTATGTGGAGAAAGTATAAGTTTTTAAGTAACATAAGAAAGTGAAGAAGATATAATAATGATAATAAAGATGATGGTAATGATTATAGTCAATGCATATTGAGTCCTGATCATTAAACTGATACTTTGATAGGAAACTTTCATGCACTAACTCCTATTTTTTTTTTTTCTTTGAGACAGAGTCTCGCTCTGTTGCCCAGGCTGGAGTGCAGTGGTGCGATCTCTGCTCACTGCAAGCTCCGCCTCCCAGGTTCACGCCATTCTCCTGCCTCAGCCTCCCAAGTAGCTGGGACTACAGGGACCCACCACCTCGCCCAGCTAATTTTTTGTATTTTTATTAGAGACGGGGTTTCACCGTGTTAGCCCGGATGGTCTCGATCTCCTGACCTCGTGATCCGCCCGCCTCGGCCTCCCAAAGTGCTGGGATTACAGGCGTGAGCCCCCGCACCCGGCCGCATTAACTCCTAATTTTACAAGTAACTCTATGAGATTAGAGGTTCTACTTTGATTTATACTGAGTAAACCAAGACATTGAATACGTGGAGTAAATTGGCCAAAGTAATGTAACAAATGAGTGGTGAACTTGTGAATCAAAGCAGCAGCTATGTTAGACTCCACGTTCTGAACTCTAAACCTCCTGGTACACTAACAAGTGGGTAATATGCAACAACATATTAGCAAATATGAAGTTAGAACCTGACAACTGAATACATGTGAGTTCAGTAGACTGCAGTAAGACTTAAAGAAATAGTGAATAAAGGATGCGTTTTAAATTTTCTCTGCAAAGAGGGGTAAATACACTTCAATTCTGTCTGCCTTTCTTTATTCTCTCTCCACCTTGTAAATACATCCCTGCTAAGTAGTGTGTTCTTATATATCATTTTTTAAAGGGTTGATTTTAATATTGGAGTAACATTCAATTATATGGACAGAACAAGGGGATATAAATTATTTTTAGTAGTAATATACTTCCTGTTTGTATGTGACAGTATATTTTACCTTTTTATCTGAAAATTATTTAGATTACCTTAAGACGTCAAATCAATTTTACAGGGCTAAATGATATCCACAGCCGATGTTGGTTGAGACCATTTAATAAGGTTGCCGCTGTCCCCTAGCTATTCTGCTACTGTTTTGTTTTGTTTTCTGCTCATGATAGTCTTTATTGCATTATTTTGCTCTTCAGCTTCACTTTTCCAAAATTTACACAGAAGTTTAACGGTATCCAAAGACTGAGATATTGACATAATAAAAACTGATGAATATAAACTGAATTTAAAATGTAAACACATTCTCAGCTAGCATAGTGACTAGAAAAATCTATAATAGAAAAAAATGCAATTATAACCAATACAGGGTTGTTACTCAAAGCTAAGCTAAATAAAGAGGCATTTATATTTTTATTAATTTACATATCAAAACAAGTTTGAAAATGCATCTTTTTTTTTTTTTTTTGAGATGGAGTCTCATTCTGTTGCCCTTGCTGGAATGCAGTGGCACGATCTTGGCTCACTGCAACTTCTGCCTCCTGGGCTCAAGTGATTCTCCTGCCTCAGCCTCCTAAGTAGCTTAGATTACAGGCTCTTGTCAAAACACGTGGCTATTTTTTGTATTTTTTTTTTTTTAATAGAAATAGGGTTTCACCATGTTGGCCAGGCTGGTCTGGAACTCCTGACCTCAAGTGATGCACCTGTCTCAGCCTCCCAAAATGCTGGGATTACAGTCGTGAGCTATTGTGACCAGCCAGAAATGCATCTTTTTATGTGAGAACTTTGATGCTGTTGATTTCAGCATTTGTTGCAAAAGGTATGATTAGTATGCTATGTCTTACTACTGAGCTAATTTGTGACAATAGATTGTAATGCAAAATTGAGCTAGATTGTTGAGATGGTACCAACAATAACTATATTAATAAAATATTTGAATCTTCATATTTCATTATAAATTTTTCAAGTAGTTTGTAAAGTAAGTACCCATATAATAAAATTTTCAAACAGAAATTTGAGAGCAGTGTTGAAATACACTTTGGTGATAAAACTAGTCACAAACGTAGGTTTTATGACAGTTACCACTTACGAGCAAATGACCTTGGATAAATTACCAATTTATTTAAAACTATTTCTTCATCCAAAAAAATATAGGTAAAAATTAAATGGTACAATGAAGTATAACAAGGATTTAATAAATAAGTGTTCTTATTTTATATATTTGGACAATAAGGACACAAATATAGTGTGAACTCAATTATACTGGCTTGTACTTTTAACATGATTTCCAAAATAATAATAGTACCCTTGTGCCCAATGATAACTGAATCCATGACTACTTAATTAGGCTCTGCAGTAATTTTCTTTATTGCATTTGCTCATTATGTTAGTAGAATGATTGCAATGCTTATTTGTATGTGAGCACTTCATATCCACAAGATGCCTATATAAATTAACTTTGATGCAAAAATTTGTCTTCCTAAACAATATTTTTCTTCCCCTTTTCTAGACAATCCCAAAGAGACAACACGCGTCGCTGTTTTTGTGAGAATTTTGGATGTTAATGACAACGCCCCACAGTTTGCTGTGTTCTATGACACTTTTGTATGTGAAAATGCCAGACCAGGGCAGGTAAGCACCTACAGGATTAAAACTATGGAAAGATTTTAACTGTGTGCGAAGTATTTCTTTTTCAAAATCCTGAGAGGAAAGAATACACAGAGATGGAGACATTCGTATACAGTTCCGATCACATTTTTTAAAAACCGTAACTGATGTTTTTAAAGGTGAAAGTGTTTTTAAAAGCCATATACCAGGTTTCATATTTCCTTTGTAAAGTTCTAATGCATACATAAAATTTTATCGTTGCCACAAAAGTCGCAATATAAGAAGGAATAACTACTTTCAAAACTTTCAAAAACAAAGACAAGCAAACCCCTAAGACCCCCTGCTGTGTCATTAAGTAAATACTGATACCTGCTAGACAGATGAGAGACAAATGTACGGGAGCAGCAGAATATTTAATCACTATTCTGATGTGTGCAGATATGCTTTTGCATCAGGGCAGCAGAATTTGTTCCTTAGACTTACACATTGCATCTCATCATTACAGCAACGTATGAAGTGCTTCATGACTTGGTTTTAGTACTTTAAAACATTTTTTCTGCGTCAGCTTTGTTTATAATTCTGTAAGTCTTTTCCTCAGTGGACTCGTTTTGTTGATTGAAAAGCTCCAGTGTATATGGCTGCAAGAGAATGCTCTTAATTGGTTTGAGTGCTATCTTCACAGAAGGAAGCTGCGTGGTGTAAATAATAATTGGGAATCAAATGTGTTTTATTAAAAAAAGGAACCATCATGAAATTGTATTATGTTTTGACATTATTTGATGCTCTTTATAAACATCAATGTCATTGTTACATTTTTATGCAAATTATATTGTGGAATAATTCAAATTCTTCCTTTTGAAGATGCTAACAAGAATTCAATAGCCTGTCTGTTGTCTGAATATGGTAAAATTGCTGCAATTTGATTCATTTTTTTTTAACTTGAAAATGTTATGGAAATGTTTAATTTGGAATATTTAAATGACTTAGCTGCTTCCCACTTACTACTTAATGAAACAGTGCACGCCCCGAAAATACCATTCCAAATCATCCTCTGCTTGGCAGGCTCAGCATGATATGAGCTGAAGTCTTTTCTCTAAGAGATAAATTAGCCACTTTGCTACTGCTGCATGCATTGCTCCCTCTATGGTTATTCTATTTGATTTTCAAAAGATATCTTTTCAGAGCATTCAAGTCATTATAAATACTGATTTACAAATGTATTCAAAATATACAAAATGGAAAGGATGTTTGTTTATTTTCCTTCTGCCGATTTTCTTTTTAACTATAACTGGCTCACAACATCTCCATACCTTTTGGACATTTGAAAAACAGCTGGCATATTGAAGGAAAATAATCAAATAAAAGATGATTTCAATAAAAAGGGAATTAGCCTGTCTTGACCCACCTGATAGGAAGAGGATGATTAATATTTTTTTGTCGAATTGGCTGCCTGTGCAATAGCCTCCCATACAGGCAAATTCTAATAACACCAGTTTGTTAGATGTCACTTTGGTCTCACAGGCTGAAAAATGCCTTGGTTAAACTAAACTGTGATATATTAAGGAATGAAATTCTAGGTTATGACATCCTAGCAGGCAAAATCAAAGTGGTAATTTGATAAAATTCTTGTTCAGAGCCTTTTTAAAACTAATTTGTTAGCTCGGACTCCCCTTCTCCTAGGAAAGCAGAAGAATGTCAGGGTTTCAAGGTGTGCTTTAGTTTCTTATGGTGTATCTCAGTCCACCCAACACTCCTCTGAATTAACTGCTCCTTAAGAGTAGCACTTAAGAGTGACACCGACATGGAAAATAATCCATTCATTTGGTTGTGGACAAAATGAGGTGACAAATAAAACTAATGACCATTCCCTGCTGTTGCCTATTTTCTGATCTAAGGGTAGAATTTCTCCTTGGAAATGTTGCAACTTTTAACTGATGTAATATTAGTAGTCCCCTCCTGCGCCTGAACTAGGCAGCTTGACCCTTCACCTTTTCCATCTCCGAGAGAGTCAGAGGACCTCAGCAAAAGAGAGGATAGAGGGCTGGCTCTTTTTGTTTTTCATTCTATCTTGTCTCACTCATGCCTACTCCTGGAGTCAATAAAATACATTTTAAGTAAATGAAATACATTTGAATAATTTTAATCTTCATGGAAAGAATGTAATACCACAGATTTCCCAAGATGTCCCTCTAGGGAGAGATGCTGCTTTCATTTCCCTTCGATAGTATCTACGTGACTTATCAAACCATGTCAACTAACAACAGATATCAAACCAAATGGCAACTAAGCCTTTAAGAAACCAAAAATTCCCATTACATATTTTCCATAGAAAAAGCTAAAATATATTAAAACTTAACCAGTTTTCTAACTTTAAATATCTTAAAACCCATTCCTTGTTCCAGACAACATAATAATATGATCACTGAAGCATTCCTTAAGTTGATTTAAGATTATTTTAGAACAGCCCAGTGAAAACAGAAATCAACTCTATGCTTATTACGTCCCTAACAACTGAAAAGGGTGCAACAGTGTTTTTTGTTTTTTTTTGTTTTCGTTTTTGTTTTTTGAGAAGGATCCTGTCTGTTGCCAGGCTGGAGTGTAGTGAGTGGCATGATCTCGGCTCACTGCAACCTCCACCTCCTGGATTTGGTTCAAGCGATTCTCCTGACTCAGCCTCCCAAGTAGCTGGTACTACAGGCACATGCCACCATGCCTGCCTGATTTTTTTGTATTTTGGTAGAGACAGAGTTTCACCATGTTGGCCAGGATGGTCTCAATCTCCTGACCTTGTAATCCGCCCACCCTGGCCTCCCAAAGTGCTGAGATTACAGGCATGAGCCACAGGGCCCAGCCAAAAGGGTGCATTTTACCAGCACAAAGGAAATGTTCTTAATAACAGAAACTCCAAGGCTTCCCACAGAAAAGCTAAAACGTATTAAAACTTAACCAGTTTTCTAACTTTAAACATCTTAAAACCCATTCATTGTTCCAGACATTAAATATCTTAAAACCCATTCATTGTTCCAGACACCATAATAATATGATCACTGAAACATTCCTCAAGTTGATTTAAGATTATTTTAGAATAGTCCAGTGAAAATAGAAATCAATTATATTGTTGCTAAGGAGATAAAATGCAAATGACTTATCTGTGTACTTTTCTTCATATGCTCAAAATAAATACTGGAAATCACTAGTTTCTGTTTGTTTGTTTCTTAATTGTGGAAAACTCTTTTATTGGAAATGGATCAAAATGAGTTTGTCTCCAGGACAAAAAAAGACAGTGGATGCTTACAGAGAGAGCCAGGGAAAATAATTTTACCTCCTTGTTGCCAAGTTCTGATATCTGTTACCAGTCTTTGTGGCATATTTACCAAAACAAAAGCATTGTGATTTTTAATATATGGTTGAAGATTGAGAGGTAAATTCAGGATATGAAGAAGTTGAACACTAGAAGTAATATCTTAAAGAGAAAAAAAAAAAAACCTTTTATCTTGTAAAGGATATAAGTGCCTGCATCTGCAATAGCGATATCTTAAGGTCATAAAAATATATTGTAATGTAATATAGATTCTGTAACATATGATTTTGTTTGTATCATCTCTACGAGTTTGACTTACTCCTTTTGTAATATTCAGTGAAAATGTATAAATTAACTACTGATCTTTAAATCAATAGTGCTATAATATTTGATTAAAATAGCACATTTTAATTAAAGATTTTAATGTTAATTTTTAAAGTTTCTGATAGATATAGGTAAAGATGTCACCATTTGTTTTTTGAACTGCATTATTTTGATCCATAAAAAATAAATTGAAATTATATTTTGTAAGTTTATTTTGAGGGAAAATACACAGTTGGAAATGTATATTTATTTTGAGACATTTGAGTTTCCATTTTCAAAGGCCATTAGCCCTATTTTTACATTTCCGTCACTTTTTTTGTCTGTATATGAATGTTAAGATATTAATCTTAATGACTAAGGATTTCTAGTAGTCTACTGTCTTTTTTGATGTTATTCCATTTATGTCATTTTTTCCTCTTCAATATATTCTTATAAATCATTATTTGAAAACGAAATCCTTAAGAGTATATTTGACAGACAACAAATCAGTCAAGAAATGTTTTTTCACGGAATTGACACATCTTAAGTAGTATTAGTTAACAATATTTTGACTTTATTAATTTTAATAGATTTATATTCTTGCTTTTTTATAATTCTCACTTATATTTAATTTTAAGTTACAATTAAAATTTAGTCAAATAATTATGTTGCTATGTTTTTAAAATGTACTTTTGAAATAATTCAAAGTTTTAAATGATGTTTTTCTTGCTGCTTATTTCTAGGCAATAAATATAAATCTTCATGTCCAATTATATTTCTTGTATCCTATTGAAATAAATGGTTAGGGTTGTAATTAAACAGGCTACTACCACAAATACATCACATTTTCATTGCTCTAAGACATTTTAAAAGAAAAGTAATCTAATACAGATAGTTGTAATAATTTCTTTATTTCTTGTAATTTTTTACATAATATTTTTAACTTGAAATCACTTGTTAAACCAACAAAACATCAGCAACAAATATATATATATATATATATATATATATTTTAGCAGCAAATATTTTAACCCAACATCCACATAACATTGAGTTAATGCAGTAGAAAGTGTATTCCTTTTGGTTAAGCATTAATTTGACTATATAGGCATCAGTGTACATATTTAACAACTTTTGAGGCTGTCTTCAAAATTAAAATACATAAAACATATATGAATTGTATTATAAATATAAGTTAAAGAACAAAAGGAATATAGATGCAAAGAAACCTTACATATTACATATACATATACATCTTACATTAATATTTGTATATTAATCATATAATATGTTTAAAGCAATGATCTGATTATGTATTGGAGCTAAATTGCCTACTTTGCTACCATATAACTTCTTATGTTTTCTCTTACCGTAAAATCAATCAGAGTTTACCCTTTTAAAATAATTCCCACATAATATACATATGTTGAATTTTTAAAATACAATTTTACTGAAAGTGTAAGTTAATTGCACTTGGACTGTCAAAGTTTCTAATAATGTTTAAGACTCTGTTAAAAAGTAATATATAACATTACCTATAAAATCTCTACATTCCGCGATCATTTTTCATTTTATTTTTGGGGAGAAGCGAAGCATAGTCACAATAATTTCCTAAATTTTTCTGACATTAGAAAAACTCTTCCAGATCAATGTGTAAATGCATATAAAATAATCTCATTTTAAGTGCTACATCTAAATTAACAAAACCCCAAATAATATGATATTTTTGTTTGCCATCTTGAAGTAAATGGTATGATCTAAAAGAGATAGAGATGAGAGAGGGAGAGATTATTAAAATCAAAGTGATAATAAAAAGATGGTTTCACTTAAGGACACATTCACAAGACATAAAAGTCAATTATTTTGAACAACTTTAGACAAAATGAAGATCTTAAAAAAGTGCAGATCATACCCATGGATAAGAGATATATTGATGAGATATATTTTTCTTTTTCTGCAGCTAATACAGACTATAAGTGCAGTAGACAAAGATGACCCTTTAGGTGGACAGAAATTTTTTTTCAGTTTAGCTGCTGTCAATCCAAACTTCACAGTACAGGATAATGAAGGTAAATTTTAGAACTTGTTTGCTATGACCTATGATGATATTAACAGGAAATGTCCCTAATGTAATCATTGCAATATGTATACCATGTCAATTTATTGATCTGAGTTATACAATTTTGTTTTATTCAAGTATTTAATGACATATTTAGTAAACCCTTATTTGACAATGTGTACTCTTTTCAATTTTAAAATAATTAAAATATGTGAAAGAGGTCTCTTTATGGATGTTAAGGACATAATTGAGTCTTGATAAGATTAGACAGGCTGGAAATAATTCTTACAACAATAATATAGGAGACATAGGGTAGAGAAATGAATGGTTCAGTAAGACTCTCAAGCAGACTTCAGTGAGATTTAGCAGCAGCAGATTCACCAAAGCCAAATATGCATAAAGGAGTGAAAAGAATGAGAAGTAGCCTGTGAGGTGATTCAGTACAAAGGCATTGTTACAAAGGTACTGTTGCAATGGCGAGATGTATGCCTCTTGAAGGTTAAAAAATCTTCTTCTTCTACTTCGTTATTGATTTAAAACATGCAACAACGCGTGAAATTTACCTAATCCATTTTCTTCCTGAATATTTGATTGATGTGTGTTCTGTATTTGTGTAAGCACACACGCACAGTTGCACATAAATTTAAAAAACACACATTTAGTATGGTTTTTCTCTTGGTATGCAAAATAGGTTTTTTGAAAAGAAAGCGATTATTATCATCTATGTAATCTTCATAAATTATTCACTTATAAAAATTTACCACTTTGAAAACAGTACTGAGGAATTATGTGAAAACTTAATAAACAAACAATTCACAGTATATTTTTCAAAGTAATCATTTGTCTTATCTATATATTAATTGCAATGTACTTATTTTTTAGGAAAACGTATGTCAATTTTATTTTTTACATAAATACATTTTTATTTATATGTTAAACCTTGTTTATCACATTGGGAAAAATGTACTATCTCAAACCAATTGTAATATTTTAAAATTTATTTTAGATAATACTGCCAGAATCTTAACCAGAAAAAATGGATTCAATAGACATGAAATCAGTACCTATCTCTTGCCTGTGGTGATATCAGACAATGATTACCCAATTCAGAGCAGCACAGGCACACTGACCATTCGAGTGTGTGCTTGTGACAGCCAAGGCAACATGCAATCCTGCAGTGCTGAAGCCCTGCTCCTCCCTGCGGGCCTCAGCACGGGGGCCTTGATCGCCATCCTCCTCTGCATCATCATTCTACTGGGTAAGGAATCTTAAAACAATGGGAGCATTTTCTAGGCTCTTTAGTATGTTTTTGAAGAAGAATCGTTGCTATTAAAATCCCTTTCCCAAAACCAATCCCAAATTTTAAGACAGACATAAATTAACTATGTGATATTCTTTATATTAAAATATTTTATTTGATCAGAATATATAAGAATACATAAAGAATTTTTGTTGTAGTCATAGTAATAGCGGAACTTTACCTCATGGGGGCTAGAATTCATTGTAATGCGAATCAAAATATTTAGAAAAAACAACTGTCTTTCACCACAATGCAGTAAACAAAGGAAAAGGCAAGAAGAATGAATGCAGAATAGCTTGTGTAGGAGCTTGGAAATTTGAGAGACAAAATTCTTGCTAGCCATGCTGAATGTTCTGATGGAATTAACAGATCTTTAGAACCTAAGTCCAGTGAACAAATGAAAAGAGATACATCAGTGACCAGGACCCCAATTATTTTATTGCTGGCCCATTATTTTCCTCCTGAGTGGTGTAGTAACAGAGTCTGGGGCAGTGGTTCTTCTGGAACATCTTCCATACAGGAATCAAGTAAGAGTTGGAAGAGATGGAAGATAAATAGTAGGGTCTCAAACCACAACTGGAAGGTAGACGTTAATCAATCTCAATAAGACTAAAAACAACAAAGGTTAAGTTGATAATATTTGTTAGAATAGCAATTCAAAAACTTGATATAGAAGCACTTCCCATCAGCATTCCTGTATTCAATAATTGCTAACTTTTCATACATACAAAATAAAGTTAAGTAAAACTTTAGCATTTGTCTTAAATATTAAAATAATGTAGACAATAATAAATTGTAGCAATATTTTTATGATTATAAAAAGAGAGCACGTTTTTGTATGAAGTTAAGGCCTGCAACAACAAGAAATGGATTAAAAATATTTCCACGTTCTTTATTTGACTTGATTATGTCTACTTGACTCTATAAAAGTTTCCATTTTTCTGCTTTTATCATAGCACTTATGTACTTTCATTCTGTGTTTAAATAACAGAAAAGTAAATTACTTATGACAGATAAATCATTGAATGGATGATTTGAACAATTCTAGATTAGATTTTTATGTAGTTCAAGAAATGAGAACATGTATATTAAAAAATACACATTTTTTAATTTGTTACTGTGAAATGAAATCCAGAACAAAACTTTTCTCTGTACCACAAAAAATATATGCCTCATTTTATTTCATAGAATGAGAATTTGGTATAATTCTATTTTTATAATTTGACTTACCATTAATACAACAAACATTGAGGAAAAGTTAATAAATGTGCTTTACAACAGTTGAATCCCCAATTGCAAATATGAGTAATATAAATATTTATTTGGGGGATTTATACTTTAAATCATATAGAAAACTTGTTCTATTAAAATATGCAATTAAAATGAAAGTCTCTAGGATGAATAATATTAATGGTGGTAAGTTTTTAGTATGTGTTTACTGTGTTTCAGACTCTGTCACTGGCACTTTGCCATGACAACCTTTTTCACTTGACACAAAAATATCTGGCATGTGTGGTGTTAGTTTCATTTTATGCATAATGAAACTGAAAATTCAAAATAGTCAGAATAATTTCCAAGGTCACATAATTTCTGAGTGTTTGAGCTAGGGTACCTTGCTATTAGTGTATGCAGAAATCCCGCAAAATCTGTATTTCCACTTTTATTATGGCTGGATGGAGGCCTCACTATCTCACATATTCACTAAAATCGTATTAAAATAGATTTTTACCTGATTTACTTTTCCCCCAAACAATGATACTTCATTTTATAATCAGGAGCAGACTGCTTTTAACTGCTTTTGAATTAAAATCAGTTTATTCTCTCTAGTTTTGTTAGTTTAAACAGATTTTTATATTTCTATTACCCTAATCAAAAAACATTCAAGAAAAAGGGAAATGAACTTGAACTTGGAGCAAATCGTGATCAGTTGTCATTATTCTCAACATTAGAAGGCTTTTGCTGAGCAAGGTCATTTGGTTGATGATAAATAATCTGAGATTTAAAATCTTTACACGTTTTTATGTGCATAAATATTTGAATTTAGGCAAAATAAAATGGCATATTTTCTTAAAAGCTTGAAGAATACACTTTTTAAAAAGCTCTGCCTATTTGCTTTTTAATTACTTGGCCAAGAACACTTATCAATGGCTAAAACTTTCTTTTTCATGACATTAAAAAAGTTTATTGTTTGCCTTCTCACATAGGTTGAAGACAGACTAGTCTGTGCGTTCGATGTTAAAACAGAAAACATAACTTAATACCCCTTCATATAATAATGTAATTAATTACATACTCTTTAAATGTGCATTCGAAGAAGGTAAATAGATACTTGTATCAATAATTCTTCTGATGTGTATATAGATAGATAGATAGATAGATAGATAGATAGATAGATAATTATATATATATACATATGTATCCAGTAAGAGTCTTCCCATCCTTGTCTGAGTTCACACTTTTTCCCTCGAATCCTTTTAAAGGTTGAGGATCAAAATGTTTGGAAATAATGAGTAAGGGTGAGAAACCCTACTGCAATCAGAAGAATTTGATACTAACTTTCTCTTATCATTTATGCTATTACCACTGTTATGATTATGAATATTGTCTCTCATTGAAGTGGGAAAATGTTCTTTTTGAGCAGTACACTTTTCTATTGTGAATCTAGCCAAGATTCATAATTTTGGGGGGCAGTTAATCCAGTGTTGTAATTTGAGAAATTTACTCTTTGCCATCTTGTATCCTAACAATGTTTTTGGGGGGGTCTCATACAAGGTATATATTTTCATGGAAACCTTAGAAATTTCTAAATCCATCTAACTCTAAATAATTGGGTTTTTTCCAATAATTACAGCATTCTTTTAATAAAGTAACAAAAATATGTAAGTTCATCAGCAAAGCTATTTAACAGAAGTCAGTACTCAATATCTTGTGAAGGATGTTGCTTTTTGCTATTGTGTAAAGGCTTTGAAAAAAGTAAGCACAGGTTGTCCTTTTAAATTGTCTTACTTGAAGTTGGATTCAATTTGTGTAGATTTATACACACAAATTTTATATAGCATCTTATGTTCCTTATTTAATGCAAAAGATAAATATTATCTGTACAATGAGGAACTTTTTTAAATGGTTCCTAGAAAAATAAAGTGTAAGTCACTATATTTAAGGAATATTTTACGTTGCTTTAAAAATAAATTAGAAACACTGATCTTAAACACCACCCACCCTTGCTAAACCCTTCAGCATCTCCCCTGACACCTCCCCCAAACTGTGGGAAGCATAAAATTAATCTGAAAGTCTAACCTGTTATAGATAGCCTGGGTAACTTAAACTCCTTTATAGTATTTCCACTCGTTACAGTGTTTTGAACGGAAGTCTAATGTATCTTCTTGTCTTTTTTCAAGTTATAGTAGTACTGTTTGCAGCTCTGAAAAGACAGCGAAAAAAAGAGCCTCTGATCTTGTCAAAAGAAGATATCAGAGACAACATTGTGAGCTATAACGATGAGGGTGGTGGAGAGGAGGACACCCAGGCCTTTGATATCGGCACCCTGAGGAATCCTGCAGCCATTGAGGAAAAAAAGCTCCGGCGAGATATTATTCCAGAAACGTTATTTATTCCTCGGAGGACTCCTACAGCTCCAGATAACACGGACGTCCGGGATTTCATTAATGAAAGGCTAAAAGAGCACGACCTTGACCCCACCGCACCCCCATACGACTCACTTGCAACCTATGCCTATGAAGGAAATGATTCCATTGCTGAATCTCTGAGTTCATTAGAATCAGGTACTACTGAAGGAGACCAAAACTACGATTACCTCCGAGAATGGGGCCCTCGGTTTAATAAGCTAGCAGAAATGTATGGTGGCGGGGAAAGTGACAAAGACTCTTAACGTAGGACATATGTTCTATTCAAACAAGAGAAAGTAACTATACCCATGCTGTCCCCACTTCACAATATTTGATATTCAGGAGGTTTTTCCTGCCAGTCAGCACAATTTTTTTTTCCCCCATTTACTTCTTAATTTGTTCATTAATTACATTAATTCTTTCCTGTAGGATGTCTCATGGAATATATACAACATTTTATTTAATCACTTCCAAGAGCCAAAGCTATGGAAATACAGTGTTGTCCATCTTAGTAAATAAAAGATAATTTCAGAAACATGAACAGGATAGTTCTCCCTTAAGCAACCTCACAAACAAGCCGCTTCTGTTAGATACATGTCCTGCCCTTGCAAATGAAGCTTTTAAAAAGGTGAAGAAAAATTTTAAGGTCTATCCTGTTCTGTACATTAAATTAAAAAAAAAAAAATGTACATGTGGTGTTAGTAGGTGTGATATGCAACCTGGTATACAGACATTTGTGCAATTTCATTTCATCAAATTCTATCTGCTAATGTTTTATATTTATATTTTTGTATTTATTTTTAAAAAAATAAACCAGTTTTTACAACTACTTTGTCTGTAGCTTCTTTTTTTTCTCCCTGGGATGGAAGACTTTCTCCCTGAACTAAATATCTTGATACACAATTACCTTACATACAGGTAAGAACACAATGTCATTATCATTAGTATTGAAAGTGCTAACCAAATTAATATGATTTAGGTAAGAATTATTTTTCCAATGAGTTTTGATACGCTGTGGTATGTGGAAAACTCTTCATATACAAAGTAATAGTCACTTATAAAACACATAAAAATTTGCCATTTAAACAACTTAAAACATGACCATCCTTATGCTAAATATCCCAAGACACCAGCAATGCAGTAATTTCATTTTGTTTATATTCACTAAAATCATACCTGAAAGAATAAAACATTTTCTCATTTTTTATGGCATTCATGCCATTAAAGTTTATAGAGAATAATAGTTCAGACAGATTTCAGACTAAAATAATCCTTTAATGGAAAATATACTTACCTCCTATGGTGACTTTAAAAATGCCTACTAATGACAGTAATAATGCAGAATATTCCATTAAGACATAGCTTTACAATTATATCAAGATTTTAAAAGCCATGATGCATCTGTTTGTAACAAAGCCTGCTTTTCTGTTAATGATTCCATAGAAAGCAAGGAAATAAAAATAAAAAAAATTAAAACACTGACAGCTAATTATCCAGAGTTCCTAAGGATCATGAAAGTTAGCTGACACTAACTGATTCCTTATTTCTCAACCTCCACAACATGATTTATTTATAAAAGGAGCACTTTGTTGGACATAGACTAGGAAACCACATTCTCTGCTGCTTAGTATATTGTAAATAATACCAAAGATCTGTGTGCTCTCTACTTAGTGAAAATGCTGTGCTTTTGGATTGAATCAAGGTGTAATACCGATGTGTCCTTAATGTAGAATTATTTCAATCTTATTAAATGGTAATATTTTCCCAACTTCCAGACTGAAAGGGCTCACATCACTCTGAACACAGATACTTTTGTTTGCATGTTAGCCTGATTATAAAAGAAAAACAACATATATTCTAGTTAAAAATACAGTCGTGTGACAAGGCTAAATGATAACACGATTTGGCAGACTTCCTCTTTTCCAAGAACCCATTCATTTTTACTGAAGGCTAGGTGTCAAAAGGACAAAGTTTAAGGAAGAAAAAAAGTTTGATCATATATGTTGAACTAAAAGGAGAGAAAATCCTCAATATCCTAAAAGGACTACTCATTAAAAACAAAATCAGTTAACAATGGAAAAATTTAAAAAGGTACAAATTGTAAGAATTTTAGGTTAGATATGATTCAAAACATACATTTGATTAAAATTACCTTTAAAATTTATAGCATTAGTTATTTTTATGAATACTGGATGTTAATATTTGGAATTCTTATTTGGATAATTTTAGTTTTCCTCATTTATGTAATTTTAAAGTAACATGAACTTGCTATCATTTATTGTATCATTCTGGTTTTTATTAAATTAAAGGACTAATCTTTAACATCATCCAATCCAGGTTTACAACAATTCTCTTTAGGGAGATTGAGTAATAGGCTTCTTTGTTGATATAAGGCCTATATCGCAGAGAAATTATTCAGTAACAGCCATCTTATTTGTTGATACTGAAGGGGATATGTTAAAAATTAATTGGTGATCCGGAAATGTAAAATGTATGCCTATAATTACCTGCTAAAACTCTCTCAATAATTTCCCTGCCATTGTGCTCTCCCAAAGGAGAGAAAGGAATGGACAATATGTAGATTACTCTATGCCCCAAATCTCCTTTACATGGGAACTGGGACAACCCTCTCTCAGTATCATTGATTTCATTGAACAAGTGTGGGCTTTTCTTTTACTCATCTTCTTACACCTTCATTCATCACATATTTTTTGAGCAGCTATTATAAAATCAAGGGATGTTTTAAACACTAGACATGTAATAAATCATAGATCATTATTTTATATTACTGCATGATTTTTCTATTAATTAAAATGAAAATATTGCAAAATAGTTAACATAACATCTAACTTGTACTATTATTAATTTTTCTTTTTTTTTTTTTTTTTTTTTTGAGATAGGGTCTCACTCTTTCTTTTGCCCGGGCTGGAGTGCAATGGTTCGATCACTCCTCACTGCAGCCTCTACCTCCCAAGCTTACACAGCCCTCCCACCTCAGCCTCTCAATAGCTGGCAGTACAAGTGTACACCATCACATCTGGCTAATTTTGTATTTTATTGTATTTTATTGTATATTCCATAGAGATGAGGTTTTGCCATGTTGCCGAGGTTTGACTCAAACCCCTGGATTCAAGTGATCAACCTACCTCGGCCTCCCAGAATGCTTGGATTACAGGCATGAGCCACCATGCTATGCCCTATTGTTTACTTTTCTAAACAGCAAATAAATAAACCACTTTGCTCTTCATTTTTCATAATGTAAATAAGCTGAAAAAAGATGATTTATAAATCTTTTGATCATTCAAAATGGTGATTAAGTTGATCAATTATCATTGTTTCTACTATCAACAAAATATGAAAGAAAATTTATGCAATGATACACACATACTCAGGCTGAGATTTCACTGTATATCAAGTAGATACTCTTATGCAACCTCAAGAATTACCGATATTTATCGGTAGTCATTAAGTGTGAATAATTAGACGTCTAGGATCTTCTAGAATTATAGAAACCTAAAATTCAGGTTTTTTAAGATTAAGGAGATCTACATATCTGTATTCATTTATCAATATAGCTATCTAAATGTCCATATATAATTTATGTCTATATTATATATGTCTGTATGTACTTATAAAACATAACTCTTAGACTCTAACATTCAAGGAAATTATTCCTTTTATTTTTTCACTTACAAATACACATACACTTATATTCACATGTCTTTATTAAAAATTTCAGCTTAACATAGCTATTAACAAGAAAATAGAGTCACTTTTCAAAATCCCTTACTCATTATAGGTCTTTTGTGCTCAAATAGACAAATGAAGGAATGGAAGGATGGTGCGATTCTTATATTCATTCAGAACTCGATTATTAATCATGTTTGATATTTGCCTCAGAGATTTTGGTGAACAGTAAAATGAGATAAAGTTTATAAATTTGCAAGAACTGAATTATACAGAACATATAATTATTTTGTACAAGGATACAAAAGCAATGACTGAATTATGGACTCCGTCCCTAGTCAGTTATGGTATAACAAATGTTACATATATGCCCCAAGATTAAGTGGCATACAACATGGAAAGTAAGAAATTAATAAAAAATGTTGTGGGCTCCTTTAATTCAAGGACAGAGTATGTCTTTCCTTCCATTGTTTTCTCAGTGATCAGTCCCTGGCACATTATAGTCACTAATAATGCTAAATAATTTCATTACATCTCCCCAACATATTTTCTAAGTATTTCCTATAGTCATTGTCCAATGGCCTCAGTATCAATTATGGCTGTTCAAGGTAGACTTGAGGCCTTCTTTTTCTTCCGTACCTATCACATCAGTTTTCATTTACTATAGAATCTCCCAAAATAAATATGTTTTAATCTACTGCCATTCTTGTTTTAAAAGAAATTTTTCAGTTACAATCGTTAAGCACCACTGTGTCAGTTTTTTGCCATACACTTAAAGTAGATTGCCCTTAATCTTTACAATAAGTTCTCCAGTGTATTAATATCCCCATAGCATACAAGATCTACAAATAGAGCTGCCAACTACTGTGATATTAACGTGAAGATGCTCTCCTTGTTGTTGAGCCCTTTGTATTTTTCACTTGAGCCACTGTCAGTGTGACAGTCTTCAAACTTCTTTCCTGCAATACAATTTTGCATTTTGCTTACAAGAAAAGGAAAAAATAAAGTAAAAGCAAAAACCAAAAAACAGATTAGTAATCTTCAAAGAAAAAAGAAGTCATATTTCTCATTGTCAAATACTTCACTGAACCCTGTCACCTCGAGGCTCAATTCCAAACTCCTATTATAGAATATTATTTTCCCTCAAGTTTTTTTTCTGTCATTGCTATGACGATTTGAATTGTCATTTTAAAACTTGTGACCAGATAATTTATTATTTAAGTCTGAATTTCTCCTGAAATTCCAAAGATACCTACTACTTAATAGTAACATCTTATACTTGACATATCCAGAAGAGTACCACATGTTTCCCCACCAATACATGCCAAACTTACTTCATCTGCAATCTGCTTCAGTGCTGATTGGCAATGCTTTCACTCCAGTGAAGTGCTCAGGCCCATGACTTTGGAGTCACCCCGTATACTGCTCTTGCAAATCTCACCTCCAAACAGATTAGTTTTCGTATTAAAACACACATTGTCCTATAACTTCTCATCATTTTTATTTTTGATCCAAGCCACCAACACCTTCCTCCTCAATTATTAGGAACAATTAACTTCCTAGCTCATAGCTTTCGATCCTGCCCCATTTACACTCAACTGTCAGCATTGTGGTCAGAAGAATCTTCAAAATAAATTGTCTATGTGGTCATTTCCTTCTTTTAAACTCTTTAGTCATTTGTCATTTTAGTCAGAGTAGAAAACTAATTCGTTATAATGGCCGAAAGCCTCTCCATACCCCTTTGACCTCTCTTCTGCTGTTTTCCCATTTATTCACTTCTCTCTGATCTCTTCTTCGGTACTGTTTCTTCCTGCCTTTCTGTGTTCACACTGGCCATTCCTTCTTTTTGCAACTGGTCTCCCTACCTAGCTCAAGTTCTTGATCAATTGATCAAATGCTGTTTTTGATTTGAGGTCTACCCTATCCACTCTTAAAACTATAGCATTTCCCTAGACCCTCCTTTACGTTGCATTTGTTTTCTCCTTAATGCTATCGCCTTTTGAGTATGCTATGTAACTTACTTTTTACACTGATTATTTTTTGTCTCCCTCAGACAGAATGTAAAATTCATGACAATATGTCATTAATTGTAAATTTGGTCATTATGATGACCAAATACATAGAATGATGTCTATCTGTCTT